AGCTTGCTTTCCCTCCATGGATTCTGCCTAACCTGCTGTGATCTCCAGCATCTTGTTTTCAGTACAGATTCCAGCATCTGCAGTAATTTCCATGGGTGCTGCCTGACCTGCTGTGATCTCCAGCAATTTTTGTTTTTAACCAAGATGTTGCCTAGATTGGTGTGTATTAGCTTTAATGAGAGGTTGGAGAAACTTGAAATGCTTTTGCTACAGTGTTGGAGGCTGAGGGGCAACCTGATAGAAGTATATAAAATTATGAGAGGCATGGATATAATGGATAGTGGGAGTCTTTGTCTCAGGGTGAGAATATCAAATACTAGGGGCATAGGTTTAAGGTGAGAGGGGATAAGTTTAAAAGAGATGTATGAGGCAAATTGTTTACACTGAGGGTGGTAGGTGCCTGGAATGTGCTGCCAGAGGATGTGGTAGAAGCAGATACAATAGCAACATTTAAGAGGCATTTAGACAGACACATGAACAGGCAGGGAATAGAGGGATACAGACCATATGCAGGCAGATGGGATTAGTTTAGAATGGCATCACGGCTTGTTCCTGTGCTGTACTGTTTGGTGCTCTATGACTCATAGGTATAGATTGGCACTATAAAGTCTAATAATTGTCTCCTTGTACTGCAACATAATTGAGAAGAAAAGGGTAGGCAATTTGGAACTGCTCTAAGTACCTCCTTGGGATCAGTTGTTCCCTAGATAATATAAATATTTATGTGAGTTGATACAACTTTGCATATAATAGCTCAACAGCATAAGCTAGGAACGTAAATTCAGAATGTAGGTTACAAATGATGAAGTATAGTCAGTGTAATATGGAAAAGGTAACAATAACATCTCCTTGTGATCTGAATTTGTCTCTTTTTGAGTGGTCTTTCATCTCTTCTTTCTCCATGTAGTCAGCACAGGCTCAGTGATAGCATGCTTACCTGAATCAGAGGTTGTAAGTTTAGATGCCACTCTGGAGATTTGAACACAAAATTTAGTGGTGGTGCAGGAGAGCTGCACCATCAAAGTTGCTTACAATTGGATGATGTCAATCTGAGGCCTATTTTTCTTCCTCAGTTGCATGTAAAAAATACTATGGTGGCAATGCTGCCTCACAGCGCCAGGGACCAAAATTGGATTCCAGTCTTGGGTGACTGTCTGTGTGGAATTTGCATGTTATCCCTGTGTCCGTGTGGGTTTCCTCTGGATGCTCTGGTTTGCTCCTATTTTCTGAAGATGTGCAGGTTAGATGGATTGGCCATGCTAAATTGTCTCATAGTGTCTAGGGATGTGCAGGCGAGGTGGGTTAGCCATGGTAAATGTGAGGTCATGGGACAGGATGGGATGTTCTTTGGAGGGTTGGTGCAGACTTGATGGGCTGAATGTCCTCCTTTTGCACTGTAGGGATTCTATGATTATGTTGAAGAGAGTGAAAACTTCCTCTGTCCTAATCAATATTTAAATAACCAGTATCACTAAAGCAAATTTGGTCTCATTAGCACTTTGTGGAATCGTGCACAAATTGGCTGCCATCATTTCACAACTCTAATAATATAACATTGGCTATAAATTGCTTTGGGACATCCTGAAGTTGTCAAATGTACTTCATAAATATGAATTTTCTCCTTTTCTCCAAAGGAGGTGAGGTTAAGATTGAGTCATAGAGATGCACAGCACGGTAACAGACCTTTTCAGTCCATATCGTCCATGCCGACCAGATAACCTAAATTAATTTGTCCCATTTGCCAGCATTTAGCTCATATCTCTCTAAACCCTACCTATTCATGTACCCATCCAGATGCCTTTTAAATGTTGTAATTGTACCAGCCTCCACCACCTCTTCTGGCAGCTCATTCCAGACACACACCATTCACTGAGTGAGGTTTCTAGTCTGTCAAGTTAATTTTTATCATCCCTGAGTTCAGATGGCTCATCTGATAGCCCTTTACATGTGTAGCAGACCAGATGTTCGGTATGGAGTTCGTTTAGCTCAGTTGGCTGGATGGCTAGTTTGTGATGCAGTGATGCCAACAGTGTGGGCTCGCTTCCTGTACCAACTGAAATCTCGCCTTCTCAATTTTGCCTCTCACCTGAGACATGGTGACCCTCAGATTAAACTCAAGTTATCTCTCTCAAATAAGAGAGTGGAATTATCTAAAGATCAGGCAGTCAAAAGGGGTAAAAACACAGTAAAACATTTTCTTAATCACAAAGTGCATACTTACAGTCAATCGATGTGAACATGTAATAATTTGGATATTATCATCATGCGCATAAGTTTGAATATGATTGGATAATATAGCCCTCTATACTACTTGTAATGTAAAGTAGAAGAAACACTGTTGGATAGAGAGAAGTGTGTAAATGTGTGACTTTTTATTGGAAACCTGTTTTCTGTTAAAATAATATAAAACCATTGTTTTGCAGCAAATTGAAGAGTTGTGTGGTACCTTTGATGGGTATGCCTCTGATGCATACATGAATAAATGCTTAGACAAAGAAACTTAATCGCATTTGGTCTTTAAGGGATCAAGGAATTAAAAACTCTCTCTTTCAGTGAGGAAGCTTTTAGAAATAATTAATCAGGACAAAATTAATAGTCATTTAGGAAAAAGCAGATTAATTAAGGAAAGCTAGAATGGGTTTGTTAATGGTACATTGAGTTTAACTAACTTGCTTAAGTTTCTTGATGTGATTTCCAAAAGGTATTTAATAAACAGCCTCACAGAGACTTGATAGCAAAGTTAAATCTCAAGGGACTGTAAGAACACGGATACTGAATGGCAGAAAACAAACAGTAATGGCAAAGTTATTTTTTGTACTAGAGTAAGATTTATCGATGAGTTTCCCCAGGGACCACTGTTAAAGCCCTGATCTTCCTGATATATATTAATGATCTAGACATTGGTGGACAGGGCACAATTTAAACATTTGTGTATGAGGTGATACTAAGAAGTATTAAGAACCATGAAGAATTGTCTAGAACTTCAAAAGGTTGGTGGAATGGGTCACAAGTGGCAGATGGAATTTAGTGAGAGAAGTGTGAAGTCAATAATTTTGGTAGAAGAAATGCAAAGAGGCAATAACACTTAAATTGTGAGATTCTAAAGGGAATGCAAGAGGTACATGATTGAAGGTGGTAGGACAGTTTGAAAGCTTGTTTAATAAAACAAAGAAGTTACATTATTCCCCAAAAAAAAACACTGGTTCGGCCTCAACTGGAGTATTGCATTACTACACTTTAGGAAAGTTTTGAAGACATGAGTGAGAGTTCCAGGTATGAGGAACTTCAGTTAAATAGGCAGATTGGAGAAGCAGAGACTGTTCTCCTGCAGAAGCTTGAAAAATTTAATTGAGATATTAAAAATCACATGAGGTCTGAACAGTGTAAATATGAAAAGACTGCTGCCATTGGTGGAATGATCAAGAATCAGTGGGCACAGATTTAAGGTAATTAGCAGAACCAGCAATGGAGATTTGAGGTAAAACCTTTCCACACAGTTAGTGGTTAGGGCCTTGAATGCATTGTCAAGATTGTGTGATGGAAGCAGGGTCAACTGGGGCTTTCAAAAGGGAATTAGATTATTATTTGAAAAGGAAAAAAAAATGGCAGGACTATGGGGAAAATATGGAGGAATGGCACTCAGTGAGTTGTTATTTCAGGTCAGCACAGACACTCTGGGTTGAATGACTTCCTTCTGTAACCATTATATGATCGTATACAATTAATATTTTGAATTATCCTGTTGATCTGTTACAATTGATACAAAATCAACATTTAAAGGGGTAGTTTTAGTGATCTGTCACAAATGGAGAAATATACAGATTTGAGCCCCACCCGATGTAGTTCTGATCCTAGCTACTGTCTATCTCAAGAAGCCCAAAAGGGGAAAGATATTTGGAGGAGGAGTGAATAATAGAAGGCAACATAAGTTCCACATGTACTTAATCAAAATATTTTAAACATTTCTTTTAGAAACGAAAATGTTTTTAATTATCTGATTTATTTTTAACTTTCAGTCATACGTTGACTACCTACGGGCTCTACCAACTGTGGCCCATCCTGAGGTCTTTGGACTTCATGAAAATGCTGATATTACAAAAGATAACCAGGAGACTAATCAACTTTTTGAAGGGGTGTTACTAACTCTTCCCAGACAGAGTGGTGGTGCTGGTAAATCACCTCAAGTAAGATAATACAATTATAAAATGCATGACCAAAGATCTGATGTTTTAAATACTTTAAACCTAATTGCTGGCTCCATTTTTACATTAAAATTACAAAAGCAGCAATGTTAATTTTTTAAAAAAATCTTTAAAATATATTTGGACTCAACTGTTTACAATAAAATATATTGAAAATCAGTTAGTTTGGAAAATGGAGAGTATAAAAGTTTGAATTTAGGGATGAACACACTTTTATTTTAGGTAGCCACACTGAGTTGTCAATGTTATTCAATGATTTCCTCTGTAAGTCCATTTGTAAATGTTGCATGCTTTGAATCATGCAGGCATTATAGCATTTTATGAATAACTTTTGTTCATGAAGTAGTAAAAATACAAAACAGGTTTGTCCTGAAACAAAATCATTCAATAATCAAACTTCTGTTTGACTAAATTCAATTTGCATGTAATAGAGGGTACTGGGATCTACAGGTAAAATAACTAACTTAGGTACAAAATAAATTGCAACATGAAAACAATCAATTTGGCCTAAATGGTCTGCACAACATTTACTGTTGACATATGAGATATTCCTATTCACATTTACCTGTTATGTTCCCATATCTTTGTCACATTTTCTTTCATCCACTTATTTAATCTAATCTTGAATGCTGGCATGGGAATGGAATTTGGCAGGTTTTTGACAATGTTCACTGTTATTAACTCTCTTAAGTCTGACTAAAGTTTAAAAGTTTAGCACAAGCACAGATTAATGTTGAAATCCTGAAGTTGCAGTCTACCATTTCTTTGCCAGAGGCTGTGTTGTAAACATCCTAAACAGTTGCCCTAGAATCATCCTACAACAAAAACCATTTGATTTGGAAAGAACTCACTCCTTTCTATTTTCATGGTTTAGAAACGTTCAAGAATAATTTCATAGAATCCCCAAAATGTGGGGACAGACCATTCAGCCCAATGAGTCCACACCGACCCTCCGAAGAGCATCCCACCCAGACCCATCCCCCTAACCCTGCACTTCCCATGGCTAATGCACCTAACCTATACATCCCTGAACACTATGGATAATTTAGCATGGCCAATCCACCTAACTTGCACATCCTTGAACGGTGGGAGGAAACTGGAGCACCCGACAGAAACCAACGCAGAAATGGGGAGAATGTATAAACTTCACAGATGGTCAACTGAGGCTGGAATCAAACCTGGGTCCCGAGGGCTGAGGAAGCTGTGCTAACCACTGAGCAACCTAGTACCATTACTTCACCATTACAAACATGTTCAATGAGGTATAATTGGATTTTAAACTGTGATCAAGGTGGTAATTATTACTAAACAACTGAACATGCCCTGTAAAAATAATTTTGTATTTGTGGCATGTTAAATATTTCCATAATGATTAATTACTATGTTTTCATAATTAAAAATGCATTTTACGATATATTTCAGCTTCTACATTATTCCAATGCATATTTTCAAATGGTTAACTTGTGATAATCGTTTTTGAAAATGATTATTGTTGCTTTTAATTTCCTAATTGGCTTCCTATAAGAATTCTTCAGTGTGATTAGCCAGCTTGGTGACATTACAGCAGCTTGATGTTGAGAGTTCTCATTAAAAAATCCTATAATTAATTGCAGAAATTATTAAAGCTCTCACCGTAAAGAGATCACTAGTTCTCTTGGTGAATCTTTTTTCGAGGCCAGTGGTGAGTGCATTTGCTTTGCTAGCGATCATAAAACCAGAACCATGGTTTCTGTCCCAGGCACTAACCCAGAATTTCACATCCTTATGACCTCTGCAATGACAAAGATTCTCTTGCTCACTGTTCTGAATGACCTGTATTGAATCTTATGTCTTTATGCCTTTGTTTGAGACTCCTAAACGAGCCGAAACAATCTCCTTCCATCTACCTTGTCCATTATAATTGCTTGATAACATCTTGTTCTTCAGTTTAAAAAAAAATCTTTTAAACCCTTCGTACAAACAGTCATCTTGTGGTACAGACCTTGGGTACTGGTAGAAAAAGACATTTTTGTCAAAACATTCCATCTTGTAATCATCATGACAACTCACAATACTAACAGTTAATGATGACTGAGAGTTAACTGCTAAGCTTTGTTTAAATGGCCAAGGCATTTTTCCTCGGAAATGATCCAGAGAATGGAGTTACCTATTTTGTTGAATTGAAACAGGCAGTGTACATACATGTTGTTTCTGTCCGCAGATAAGCTCCTAAGTAATATATGTAGCTACAAGCACTGACGAGCACGCCACACTGAGAGCCCAAAAATTCAATAATTCAGAGGTTTCATCCCAGCTACATTTTCAGGGTATTCCATCAATCCTTAACCAGCTTTCCCCGAGCCAAAGAGCCGTTAACTGAACTGTAATGAACTTTGTCTTAATTTTACTTTTTATTATCATGTATGACTTTTGTCATTAATGTAGGCACCGTAGTGGGGCAACTTATAAAACTTTTCACTTTTTTTAATGTAAATGAACATATGGAAAATTTCTATTCTATTCTAAATTTTAGTTGTTCCTTACACACTCAGGATTATATAGCAAATGTTGTTTGGTTGTAGAATCACATCTAATGTCCCACACTGTTGTGCAGGCTGGTTCAGTACAGTTGGCACCTTGCTTGTTATTGTTGCGAAGTTGGGTGGAGTATTTGTGGATTGGAAGGCGGGATGTTGGAATTTGATGTTTATAAAATGATAGGGGGAAAGAGTGTGTGGTCCCTTTAAAAGACGTGTTTTTTCTTGATTAAAGAAAGAGTGCAGGTGCACAGAGAGCTTCTGAAATTGAAAATGTATCAAAAGGCTGTGTGGTTAGCAACCCAGGCAGTAGTTTGTTTTGTTATTAATGCAACCAGTTTGAAAATCAGCCAATTAATTTAAAACAGGCACTTAAGAGACTAAAAAAAAATTTAAAACTGATCATTTTGACAACCTAGGACCAATCCTATGTAAGAAATTTACACGTCATCAAGGGTATAAAAGAAAAGGTCTTTTGAAAATTCGTGACACAACAACTGCCATCTAATAGAGTTAACAATGGATCAGCTCGAAACAGAAAATCTCTAGCTCTTACAGAATTCTCTAAGCTCTCAAAAAACTATCATTAAATAAAGGTATAATGGCACTCTTAGCTAATATTCCGGACACAATAATTCGATGGAGAAAGGCATTCCAGGCTAAGAAGAAAGTGCAGAGCACTCGTATCCTGTCCATAATTTCGAGAGACTAAGTTTTAAGTTGTTTTTATTAATTTGGTTTATATAAATGGGATTTATATCTATTGGAACAGCATACAATTAGAATTTTGTTTTATTCAGGAATAGTCAGTAGTTAAGGGGGAATTGTCCAGTTTGTTAATAGTTTTGTTAATTTGTTCACTATTAGAGTTAGATAAATAAGTTGCTACTTGTTGATTATAGAGTGAGTGAAAGGATTTAACCACTCCGTTATAACAGACGGGGGGATGTTGGTGAGAGGCAGGTTATATAAATTTTCACACTTCTTTTAACAGGTTATGAAGCAAAGCAAGCCTCTCTGGGTGTTTAAGTTTTAATTATCAGAGGCGGGGTTAACCTCTGCTTCATAACATTATGAACAGTGAAGGGGAGCTATCAGTCTTTAGGACCTAGAGCCTACATATCTAACATCACACTAACACCAAAATCCATGTACCAATTACTTGTATGTGACAGCCGTTGGCCCGTTTATGGTTTTACACAAGATATGGAGAAACAATGACTTTTATAGTATTATCACTGGACTATTAATCTAGAGATCCAAGCAATGTCCTGGGGAACCTGGGTTCAAATCTCATTGTGGCAGATAGAATTCAGTAACATCTGGAATTAAGAACTAAATGATGACCATGTATTGTTGTACAGTTGATTGTTGGGAAAAAACATTATCCTGCTGGATGGCTTTTATGCCGCTATTTCAGCATAAAGTTTTCATGGTGAACAGAGGATGCATCCTTAAAACAGTATAGGCTACTTAAGACGTACAACCTTGAAACACTGGGAAAAACATACAGTGCACCTTTTTAAAAAAAAAAGCATAATTGAGGCACCTGATGTATGCTGCATCCCTACGGCAATGCCCTGACTAATGAGAATGTACCTGCCTAGGCATTTCAATGTCAATAATGGCCCAACAAATCAGTAGTCTACTCTCATATTGTATAAAATTATGTGCCCTTGTTCTGATAAGCATCACATCTTGTCTCTTTTGGTGATGTTCAAAAATAGTTTTTTTTTAAAAAAAACCTGCTAGTTACATTCAGAGTAAAATCAGAAAAGCATCTTCATGGATGTATATACTAATTTCAGGAGGTTGTTGAAGACTTGGCTGCAGACATAATGTCCAAACTACCTGATGACTTTAATTTGGAGGATGTGATGGCAAAATATCCAGTAGTGTATGAGGAGTCGATGAACACAGTCCTCAGACAAGAACTTATCAGATTCAACAGGTGTGCAACAAAATGTGTTTTCTGTATAACAAAACTATATTCAGAAGAGAGACAACAAGGTGCAGGGCTGGATGAACACAGCAGGCCAAGCAGCATCAGAGGAGCAGAGAGGCTGATGTTTTGGGCCTAGACCCTTCTTCAGAAAAGGGGGAGGGGAAGGGGGTTCTGAAATAAATAGGGAGAGAGTGGGAGGCGGATAGAAGATGGATAGAGGAGAGGA